AGTGTTGGAGAAGACTCTTGAGAGTCCCTTGGACAGCAAGATCAAACCAGTCAGTCCTAAAGGAAATCAATCCTGAATATTCATTGGAAGGACTGATGTTGTAGCTGAAGCTCCAATACCTTGGCCACCTGATGTGAAGAACTGACTCATCAGAAAAGACCCTGATGCTGGGAGAGACCGAAGGCAGGAGGAGAAGGGGACGACAGAGTAGAGATGGTTGGATAGCATCACCAACTCGATGGGCAAGAATTTCAGCAAGATCATGCTGAGTTGGTGATGGACAGGGAAGCCTGGTGTGCTGCAGTCCATGGAGTCACAAAGAGTCAGACACGACTGAACTGAACTGAACTGAACTGAATGGATAACCTGGAGAAAAGGCATCGTAGATGGGAGCAAAAGTAAAAGATAAGACAAGGGTACAAATGTTTAGTGCTCTGTTGCATGAACCCAGAAATTTTAACATCTGTAAAATTACATTCTACATCTTGTTTATGGGTCCTATATTTGAATTTATTTTATACTTTTTGAAGTTCAGAATCATTTTAATTTAGTTCAGAAAATTTCAGAGCACCTTTGAAGGAACATTTCTATAATCATTTTTCTATCTATCACATTTCTGGTTAACAAGGTTTAGGGGAAACTTGGCTCTCTCAGTCAAAATGTCAAAACAAATAAAAGTATTCTGTCAAATCTTTTTACTTGTATTATTTTTATGATTTTTTTTCCTGTTCCATTACTTTACTTTCTCTGAACTATTTTTATAATGTTTCCTTTTAGTCTTAAGCTAAAATGCAGCACTATTTTTTCAGTGACATCATATCCTTTTTGAGCACTATGTCCTGAGACTGGTTCAAGATGTTAAGAAATGGGTAAAGTACACATTTGTTAAGTGACCACAGGACAGGTTGCTTGGCAGAATCTCAGGACAGGCAGGTGTGGGATGGTGTGGGGGGTGAGACGGGGGAACAAGCGAGTTGAGAAGAAAACATGGTCAAAATAGTAGGACAGTCACAGCCTGAGGGAATAAAACTGGGTCAACTCAGACTGAGGCTCAAGCCTTAGCCATAAAGGCCCCCAGATAAAGAATGCCTCCTTATCTGTGCTTCCACCTGTATTTGAAAACATACTTCGAGCTGAGAATAATTTTAGCAATACTTAAATAATTTAGTTCTACTTTAAAATTGCATGCTAAGTCACTTCAGTTGTGTCCAACTCTGTGTGACCCTGTGGGCTATAGCCCTCCAGGCTCTTCTGTCAATGGAATTCTCCAGGCAAGAATATTGGAGTGGGTTGCCATGCCCTCCTCCAGGGGATCTTCCTGACCCAGGGATTGAACCCGCATTTCTTGTCTCCTGCGTTGACAAGTGAGTTCTTTACCACAAGCACCACTTGGGAAGCCCCTAGTTTGAAATTACATGCAGCTAAAAGAGTAGCATGTGCGTTCCCCACACTGGACCTAAACTTAAAATCAGCAAGGCTCTCCCTCTCCTGGCTGCCCTGGGGGCATTTGCTCCACCTTTTGTCGAAGCACCCAGAGAGCACTTCCTCCATCAGATCTTCCTTCCTGGGAACACCTCATCTTCCAAATTGCTTAATTCTGTTCTTACCTCCATTCGTTGCTACCCTTTGCTAACTAAAACTGTTGCAGAAAACTTATCAACATGTAATTCACAGTAAATCATGATGACTAAATTTAACTACCCCACCTCTTACTCATGTATGGCCTTCCACATAAATTTCAGACTGGTTGAATTTATGGTATTATTAATATGTACAACATTTTAAGAGAAGAGAAGATTTTGAAGACAACTGGTCACACCATATAGGTAAATTCTCACACTACTAGCTCTGAAAATGTGAGATTTTCTGGAGAGGAAGGATTCTTACTTATCACACTAGACTTGAAACATAAGTTTAGTTTTCTGGGTTAGATAACTATATATGACATTCACATCTATCCTTGTAAAAGAGCAATAGTTATTAATTTATAATTAGTGCTTATCATATCAGTTCTTTTTTGCATTAAAAAGTAATTTTTATGAATTTACAATTAATTTTTATGATCATATCATTTTTTTATTAGAGTTAACTCTAATTCAAAACAATCTTGTACTTGAAACAATAAAATATATTAAAAAATAAATTCTCCTCTCTGTGTTGGAATAGAATCTCTCTGATACGTAATATATTTCTGGTCCTGAAAGAATGTTTTCACCCTTTTAACCTCCAGAATTACAAAACATATATCTTGCCAAGCAACACAGTCATCATGCCTTGGACATGCTTCAGCTATGTTTTGATTTATTTACTTTAATCAGCCTGGAATTTGGGGGCCATAGTTAATTTCAAAGTGTATACACTTTTTGGATCTTAAAAGGTCTTCTTGAAAAATTGGTCACAAGATATTCCAGAAGGCTGAAACAATGTGTTATAACTGAGGAACTGTCATTCTAAACTCTGTAAATCTGACCAGATTCTTAGTAGCCTGGAGTGACTCCCCCTGAAGCAACTGATGTTCTTGTTCAACTAAGGATGAAAAAGCAGATAACCTACTGCATTAAAAAGGTACTACTTGGTCTCCAGTATAAAGGAAAAACTTAAAGAGAGTTGAGCTTATAAATTCTTCCCATTGGTTACTATTCCTCTTTAGTAGTGATTAGTATTGTTGGGGAATGTTCACTCCTAACAAGACAGAGACCATGTAGGAAATGCTGAAAGGCTGTATCTAGTTCAGTGAAGCCCATTGTGATAGCAGACACAACTATCTTTTCTTAATGTTTCAACTTAGCATTCAGTATTCAATTTAGTATTTCTCAACCTCTCAATTTGTATTCTGTAGTTATTTCTACATAGGAGAAAAAAAAAGAGGCATGTGTTGAAGTATATGTGTATATTTTTAAATGACTAAGGCCACTCTTTAATAAAATTTCTGTTAGGTATGCTAGACCGATGAAATTGACTGACAATTGAACTAACAGTTTCAGAAATATTTGGTGAACAAGCGGTAAAAGAACAGTTCTATATCCACTGAAAAAGTGAAAGTCATTCAGTCATGTCCGACTTTTTGTGACCCCCATGGACTTATCCAGGCCAGAATACTGGAGTGAGTAGCCTATCCCTTCTCCAGGGGATCTTCCCAACCCAGGAATTGAACTGGGGTCTCCTGCATTGCAGGCAGATTCTTTACCAACTGAGCTATAAGGGAAGCCCCCATATCCACTGAAAGCTCATGTAATTTTTCTCTACTAGCTTGTGCATTGGGTGTGGTTTTTGTGAAAACCACGAGGATAACCTAAACATTATTTTAAATACTAAAGCTGTACTTTATCTAGAATGTGACCAGGTTTATAGCCATTCTCACTGTAATGGGTATAGTCCTAATACTCAGTTCTTTAGTGAAAACTCATGTCACATTCAAACATACATTGATGAAACATAAAATACAAATGAAATGAGCCAGCTGGAATAAATTAGAGAAGCAAGGACTTTAAATCACTGCTACTTAGTTTTTATCATTTATTCTTTGTAGCAACCAATTTTAAATAATAATTCAAGTTCCACTTTGTTATCACTGAAACAGTTTAATTAAATTTAGCATCAATCCTTAGTTTTAAACATGATCTAGAAACAAAACAAATCCCTAGCTTGACAAATGCAGTCGACAGAAAACCTCAGCAAACAGGATGTCAATCGGGAGGCACTAAAAGTATTCTTATTAAAGAAAAGACAGAAAACACGTGTGGAAAGAAAAAGATGCTTGGTTTTGATAACATTACATTGTTCCAGAACTCTTTGCCAATGTAATCATCTCTTGGTATATTTTGTTGTAATATTAGTTATTATTGCAATACTTTTATGGATGGGGAAATGACTATATATCTAGTATAAAAAGTGACTGGATATATGGTTTATAAGCTAAAAATCAAGCAGTCACATATTAGCAATATAACAAGAAAAGACTTTATCTTTAAAAAAGTCTTAAACACATTTGAGAAAATCTGAAAAAATTATGAAAGGATATAACTTAAAAAAATAACCCTTTATTTTCTAGATTGAACCATCCTCAAGAATAGGGGTTTTGTTTATTTGCTAATATTCCTCACTGCCTAGAGGTTGACTTGAAATAAGCATTTGATCAAAATTTGTTGATTTAGTGAAAAATTCTGGGAATTCATGTGTGATAACTTAAAAAAACGTCAATCAAACATCTATCCCATAATTGGTTACCTAACATGAACTAGAAAACCAAATTTCCTCCACACAAAAATTTTTTTAATCTACGAGGAAAAAGTTATAGTTTAATTATCCAGAAATTGTCTTATTGATATAAAGAAAAAACCCTGCACTCAGATGTGCCACTCCTAAAGGCTATTCTTCTAGAATATCTTATATACAACTACTGAGGGAAAAAATCCTATTAAGCAACTTTTACAAAGGTTGAATATGCAATTTTTTTTCAAATTTATATATTTTCATTCTAATGAGGCCAGTGCTGTTTGACTCCAAGACTTTTAAGGCCATTGCAGTATCAATTGTAAATGATAAGTAAATTTTTCTTTAGAAAGATTTAACGTCTCTATCTGAAATAAGTCCAATCATTGTAATATGAGGGCTTTTATTTTCTAATTTATTTTCTTGTTCTGTATATGTTCACACACTTCTTAATACTTTCACATAAGGTGAAAATTCTAGGCAAAAAAAAAGGTAAAGTGCATTCTATGGTAATTGCAATTATGACATGTTACAGTTTTTGAAAATAATTATTAAAACATTTTCTAAAATTTTACATTAAATAAAATTATGATGAATGATCAGATATGCCATTCAAAAAGCTGCTTATATTTTTTGACATTGTTCACAATGTCAAAATTGTCTCACACAGGAGGCCACAGAACAGTAATGAAATCACATCTTCTAGACCAAGTTTTTCTTACTGCCATAAAAAGCATGTTAGCAAATGTTTTGCAATATAGGAAAAAAATAAAAAGCAAAACTCTTACCTTCTGCGACACAAACAGTCCACAACACAAGCCACACGATTTTTGCTGGAAATCTCATTTTGGAGACCCTTCAGGGCACATCTAGCATTGACAGTGCTCACCACTGTGTCAAGTTCCCCTCTGCTAAAAACTGTGAAAAGTGCAGGAAACCACTTGCTTCAAAAGGAAGTGGAGACACAGCTTGGGAATTAAAGGGATTGCTAGATGTCCCGCCCATCAGAAACTTTGCAAAGTGAAAGAAAAATCTCAGTCAGGAGCCCCAGCAATGCCAGAGTTTGAACCTGCACTCCCACTGAAAGTGAATGCCGTGACCTGCCCTTGATTTGTTTTTATAAACCCAGGCTAGTCCTCTGGAAATGTTCAAGTTCTTGGAATGTGCATAACTGGTAATACTCTGCATTTCATTAACCCTCCGATTAATCAGACCTATTCAGATCTCCCATCTATAACCTCAGGAGATTAAAAAATAAATAAATAGAAGCTCTTTCAAATTCATTTACAGAACTCGAGGTTAGGCAATGCTTTCACAATCAAGACCCAGACAACAGGAATAGACTTTGCCAAGAATGCAAATGCTGGCTGATTTGGAAGCCTGCTTTTCCTGCAGTTCAAGAAATTAATCTTTTAAGGATTTGTTATAAATGTGTGTAAAGCAACAGACTCACTCTCTTTAGATACAAAAGAGTTGAATGATTCAAAATTCAAGAAATTGAAATGCTGAATTTCTTAAACTTTGTATTGAAATATAATATACATAAAGAGACTTAAGCAAATGGTTTGCTGAATGTAGAGAAAGTGAAGAGACACATGCTAAGAGCTCCAGGTGAAGAACAGCTTCTCAGGAAAACCCCAGCATCCCCCTAGCCCCCCCCACCCCATCCTCCCATTCAACACTTTAGTCAACCCTCAATCCTGCCCCACTGTACCCTCTCCTGATTTCTGTGCACCTGGGACAGATTTGCCTGGTTTTATATTAATACTGTATATACATCTGGTAATAAGATATTCATCTTTTTGTGCTTGGAGTCTTCCACTAAAAACAATGTTTATTCAGCCACACCATTGGGTGTTGCTGTAGATTATCAACTCTTTTCGCTGTATGATATTCAATTCTTCGGGTTTCCCTAGTGGCTCAGATGGTTTAAAAAAAAAAAAAAAATCTGCCTGCAATGCAGGAGAACTGGGTTGGATCTCTGGGTCGGGAAGATTCCTTGGAGAAGGAAATGGCAACCCACTCCAGTACTCCTACGTGGGAAATCCCATGGACAGAAATCTCATGGTGGGCTACAGTCCACGGGGTTACAAAGAGTCTGACATGGCTGAGCAACGAACACTTTCATTTTCACTCAGTTCTTTGATTATGCCACATTTTATTTACCTGGTGCCTGTCAGTGGGCATCTGGGTAGATTGTGGCTGGTGGTAATGCACGGAGTGCTGCTGTGAATGCCATATTATGAGGCTTCAGTAAGCACGTGACCTCACTTCCGGTAACTACATACTGAGGAGTGGAATATCAGGACATAACGTATGATTAGGTTTGGGTGTAACAGGGATCATCAGACATTTCTCCAAAAGGACTCCATCAGTTGATATTCCCATCAGCAAGTTGTAAGTTTTTCCACACCCTCAACACACCCTCTATCTTTGTAATTTTTGCCCTTCTGGTGAGCATAGAACAATAACCCTTTGTGGCTTTCATATGCATTTTGCTGATAAGGAATGAAGCTGAGTGAATTCATGCCTTGAGGAGACATTTAGCTGAGCTAACGATCATTTAAGCCATTTTCTCAAAGTCAAAAAACATGGTGCTAGAGTAAGTAAGTAAGTCAAGTTGCTCAGTTGTGTCCGACTCTTTGCTACCACACAGACTGTAGCCTACCAGGCTCCTCTGTCCATGGGATTTTCCAGGCAAGAGTACTGGAGTGGGTTGCCATTTCTGTCTCCAGGGGATCTTCCCGACTAGATTTCAAACCCAGTGATATGATTCCCTGAATTTTATTTTTTATGCATACAGATCTGCCTTTCAAATTATTTGCTTCCCATAGTATTAAACACTTATAAATTAAAATACTACAAAATATTTCCATATGTATTTTAGTAAATGCTTCACATTTACCTATTTATCTTATAATTATGTAAACATGAATATTCATTGGAAGGACTGATGCTGCAGCTCCAATACCTTGCCGATTGATGTGAAGAGCCAACTCAATAGAAAAGACCCTGATACTGGGAAAGACTGAGGGCAGGAGAAGGGAGTGACAGAAGATGAAACAGTTGGATAGCATCACCAACACAATGGATGTGAGCTTGAACAAACTCTGGGAGAGAGTGAAGGACAGGGAAGCCTGGCATGCTGTATTCCATGAAGGTGCAGAGTCAGACATGACTTAGTGACTTAACAACAACAGCAATCACCCTAGAGGCTTTTAATGTATGTACACACACACACACACACAGACACAGACACACACACACACACATTTATGTATGTGTGTATGGAGATGTTACACATTTATGGAGATTTTAAAGTATTTTCAGGGTGATATACCTTTACAAATTTTTGCTTTGTTTGCAGAAGATGCCACTCAACTATTCAAGTGAAAGTAATGGCTTCAAATTAGTTTCAACAATATCTTTTAAATGTATTATTTTTACCATTTTTTTCCTTTTTATTTGATTTCAAAGACTTATGCGTAAGGCATTAGTTGACTGCTTTTATTTTCCTTTTTATTATCCATCAGTATTTTTAAGAAGCAAATGTTTATTTCAAAGAGATTTAGAAAAACATAAAATTACTAACGTGTTATTATTTCATGACATGAAGTTGTTATATGGTATTATATTACCATAGCAAGAACAGACAGCAAATAATTAACCATTATACTAAAATTAAGCCCCAAATACTCCTATTTATTCTCAATATTCACATTGACACTTTCTCAACAAATGTGTTCTATGTATAGCAAGGCAAAAAGTTAGGCAAAATTTTACAAGACTTAACAGACTTTAAAAACTCTATTTTTAAAGTTAGAAGTAATATCTGCATTCAGTAATAAATCAATACTATGTAACACAAGAGGAAATTTCCCCCAAAGGCTCTGTTTGGGAGGGTCTCAAGAAGACTCCTGAAAGTCCCTTGGACAGCAAGGAGATCAAGCCAGTCAATCTTAAGGGAGATCAACCCTGGATATTCAGTGGAAGGACTGATGCTGAAGCTGAAGCTCCAGGATTTTGGTCATTTGATATGAACAGGTGACTCATTGGAAAAGTTCCTGATGCTGGGAAAGATCAAGGGCAGAAGGACAAGAAGGCCTCACAGGGTGAGATGGCTTGACATCACCAATGCAATGAGCATGAACTTGGGCAAACTCTGGGAGATGGTGAGGGACAGGGAGGGCTGGCATGTTGTGGTCCACATGGTCACAGAGTAGGACACAACTGGGTGACTGAACAACAAGAATATTTGGAATATTTGGTTATTAAATTCTTATTTAAGGGAAGAGGACATCCAAGCAAAGACTCTGAGGTATCAGAATGTATCGAGAGTGTCCTAGAATTAAAAACAATATTGACACCAGGTGGTGTTAGTGTAAAGAACTCACCTGCTAATTCAGGAGACACAAGAGATGTGGGTTCGATCCATGAGCAGGGAAGATCACCTGAAGGAGTACATGGCAACACACTCCAGTATTCTTGCCTGGAGAATCCCATAGACAGAGGAGCCTGGTGTGCTACAGCCCATAGGGTCACAAAAAATTAGACATAACAAGTGACTTAGTCTGTCAGTCAGTCTCTCCCATCAGGGAGCTTCCATAAACCTCTTATCCTTATCCATCAGAGAGTGAACATAATAAAAACCACAATCACAGAAAACAAATCAAACTGATCACAAGGACCACAGCCTTGTTAATTCAATGAAAGTATGAGCCATGCCATGTGGGGCCACCTAAGATGGACAGATCATGGTGGAGAGTTCTGACCAAAAAAAAACCAAAAAACAAAAAAACACCATGATCCACTGGGGAAGGGAATAGCAAACCACTTCAATATTCTTTCCTTGAGAACCCTGTGAACAGTATGAAAAGAGAAAAAGATATGACCTTGAAAGATGAACTCCCCAGGTAGGTAGGTGCCCAATATGCTACTGGAGAAGAGTAGAGAAATAACTCCAGAAAGAATGAAGATAGGGAGCCAAAGCAAAAACAATGTCCAGTTGTGGATGTGACTGATGATGGAAGTAAAGTCCAATGCTATAAAGAGCTATATTGTATAGTGACCTGGAATGAATCAAGGTGAATTGGAAGTGGTCAAACAGGAGATGGAAAGAGTGAACATCGACATTTTAGGAATCAGTGAACTAAAATGGACTGGAATGGGTGAATTTAATTCAGATGACCATTATATCAGCTACTGTGGGCAAGAATTCCTCATGGTCAACAAAAGAGTCTGAAAGGCAGTACTTGGGTGCAATCTCAAAAATGACAGAATAATCTCTGTTCCTTTCCAAGGCAAACCATTCAATATCACAGTAATCCAAGTCTATTACACAAACACGAATGCTGAAGAAGCTGAAGTTGAAGGGTTCTATAAAGACGTACAAGATCTTCTAGAACTAACACTCCAAAAGATGTCCTTTGTATGATAGGGGATTGGAACGCAAAAGTAGGAAGTCAAGAGATACCTGGAGTAACAGGCAAATTTGGCCTTGGAGTACAAAATTAAGCAGGACAAAGGCTAACACAGTTTTGCCAAGAGAATGAACTGGTCATGGAAAACACCCTCTTCCAACAACACAAGTGAAGACTCTACACATGGACATCACCAGATGATCAATGCTGAAATTAGATTGATTATATTCTTTGCAGTCAAAGGTGGAAAGGTTCTATACAGTCAGCAAAAACAAGACTGGGAGCTGACTGTGGCTCAGATCATGAACTCTTTATTGCCAAATTCAGACTTAAATTGAAGAAAGTAGGGAAACAACAAGACCATTCAGGTATGACCTAAATCAAATCCCTTACGATTATACAGTGGATGTGACAAATAGATTCAAG